GAATACATGGATGACGATGTAAATGAAATAGAAACTGATGGTGAAGAAGAAGAAGAAAATGATGATGATAATGATGATGATGATGATGATGATGATGATGATGATGATGATGATGATGAAGATAAATATGAAGAAAAAAAAGAAAACGAAGAAAGTTTAGATGCAAATATGAAGAATGAAAATGAATCTGATTTTAAAGATATTGACAATGTTAATGCTTGTGAAAGCTTTAACATTACTAAAAATGATAGAAAAACAAAATTAATAGAAGAGTTCCAAAACGATTCAAACGTTACAAACTATTTACAAAATCATAGTAGTCAATTAAATATGTCAACAGACATAGATGCATCACATTGCGATGATATTGATTGGATAAATGAAAATGAAAGCAATATGCCCGTTTGTCAACAAGAAGTTACTACAAGAAGCCAGATATGTAAGACACCTTTGACGAAAACAAGTATGCTCGATTTGATTTCTCCTGTAACGCAATTAAGCGTATTGAATACTACCTTAGAAAATGAAAAAGATTCATCACAAAAAAGAGGATGTTTAGTTGATAAATATGAGTTCCTTTCTATGAAAAGCACACAGAATGATGAACTTTCTGAACACGTATGTAATGTAAAAAATAAATCTATTTTTAAAAAAAAATTGTTTGATGATATTGGAGAAATTGTTGATGATGAATATCTTATGCGATTGTGTTCTGGCAAATTTGAATCTCCGCAGAGAACTGATATAGATTTATTTTCGCAATCTAGTACTGAATTACAGTTACGTTTAAATGATTCTGAATGTTCTAGAAATTCTAACGCAAAACTAGTTGCTATTAAATCAAAAAATTCAAAAGACAAAATGCTTCAAAATATAAAATTGACGTCAGATGAAGATTCTAATAACTCTGTAAATCATGCAGAGAAAATAAATAAAGTTAGCGCAATGGATTCGAAACTAAAATTAAAAGTTATGTCCTCAGATGATGAGGATGAAGATATATTTCTAAAACCTAAAAAACGTTTAGCCAAACTATTGAATTTGTCTGATTCGGAAGAGGAGAATTCTCAATTCTTCGATAAAGAAGATGATATAAATAGTGAAGAGAAACAATATGTTGATTATGATTCCGAAGAAAATGAATATATAATTGTGCCAGAAAAAGATATAAAAAAAGTTGCAGCTAGTTTTGTGGAAGAAGAAGCAGAGTTAAGTGAAAGCGATTGGGATTCTGCCGATGAAGATGAGAAGAATTTGGATAAATTAGAATTTGAAGAAGCTGATGGTGAACACATAGACGAACACGAAGTGAAAGATCAACTGGAAAAGATCCATATAAAACAACTATTGGATGAAGATAAAAGAGAGGTGAGATTGTTGAAAGAGTTATTATTTGAGGACGGCGATTTACATAGTGATGGAATGGGACGTGAGCGTAAATTCAAATGGAAAAATATAGGTATAATATATACATATATTTTTTAATATTATATTGTGTAATTATAATAATTTTTTAAATGACAGACGATTATCATACTTTTTTTCTTTTAAGATATTTTATAAGATTCAATATATTATAAGAAAATTTCAAATTTCCAAAATGTAATACTTGATATGCTCCAATATGTACATAACATTATGATTTTGTTTAGATAAGTTAGGAAATAATATTGAGATGTCAACACAAATATCTGATGAGAACGAAGGCTGGGTAGACGTGCAAGACGATGAGGAAGAAGCAAAGTGGAATAAACTTAAAAATGAAAGAGACAAATTTCTTGAAGAAAGAATGGTACTAAATTATTGTGTGTAATAATGATCACATTTAAAGAATATAGATACAGAATATTTCTATAGAAGTATCTTATGTCTTTATAGAAATGCTCAAATAATGAAATTGAAGATGAATTATGTCATAGTAAAATCTTTAAACTCGGACTGGAAGCTGTTAAGAAGATCAAAGGTAATGAGTCACAAAAACAAGATACTTCTCTCGACAAGGTAAATTCTTTTGAGAATACAGAACCAATTATGCCACGGAATATAACAGATCTCTTAAATGGACCAAGTATTGGAAAGAAATCTCAGACGATATATGTAAGATTATTAATTTATCAATATTAATGAAAATATGACGTATTGTCTCATCTCATAAGCAAATGAATAAATAATAGCTTGTATAAACAGGATGTCTGATAGTTAACAATTAAATTTTCGCATAAAGGCAGAATGGATTGAGGAAAAGTCTTTTATTTTACAATTTTTACAATAGTTAACGAGTTATTAGGTGCGTTCAGTAGAGCACAACCGTTGCACGGTTTGCTGATGAGTTGCAACATGTTGAGTATTCTACTGAACGCTCTTCTGGCATGGTTGACATATGCATCGGAAAATGCAATCCTTGCGCAAGGAAAGATTCAGTATCAACTTCACGACGCGAAACAGATCATGTATGTATTCATAGTCGATACTTATATTTAAGACTGTCTTAAGTACAATCTTAAAATGTCATAAATCAATTTGTATTATCATCTTAAGACATTATATTTAAGATAGTTTTAAAATAAAAACGAACTATGAATAGCGTCCCATGTTTAGCGTTTTATAATTTCTTATGAACAGTCCTAGACAGAGAGAATAGAGATTTCAAGAGAAGCACTGCACACACCATATTATTCCTTCTACCATGAGGAATAATAATCATAGCTCAAAACGGATTTACGGATATACGCGACTCGTGCGTAGCCTGTATTGCCGCTAATAAACAATAATTTTCCATGTGCTTAACGACGGCGAATACATTTTTTGTCTCGCCGCGCGCTTGCATTTAGGCTGGACAATTTTGACTATTTTCATAAATGAATATTAAACTCGTTAATTATTGCGAAAATTACAAAATGATACAGGGCTTTTTTACTCAATTTAGTCCATTCTGCCTCTATACGAGAGTTTAAGCATTTTTCAGACCCTATACATGTCTATATGTATGTATATACAGCACGCGCACAAAATACTTATTATTAGATTACGGATATTTATGCAAAATACTTAACTGAATATTAACCATCGGACAGTTTTATCGATCGTCGATGTTATTCATTAAAAAGTTATTAAAAAATAAAGCAGAAAGATTGAGATTGCCATTTGTAAATATGCAATTTATGCAAAATATTCAGTTAAGTATTTTGCATAAATATTCGCAGTCTACTTATTATGTAAAATTTACAGAATGTTATAAAAAAACGTTCACTCTTAACTCGAGGAGAAGAATCATTAGCGAGAATAGCATCATTGGCAAAACAAGGTGACTCTGTCTCTCATGCGGTAAATATAAGAAGAAAAAACTTTATCTTTCCGCATATTGATCAAGACACAAATAATACACTTAACAAAGAAACAGAAACAATAGCAAATTTGGATTTACAAATTAAGGTATATAATTTAATTATATAATGTCAGTTATATTATAAAATATATTTTATTATTATTATTGCTATACTATTGTACATTGCTTATTTGCTACAATGTGATATAGCTATACATTTCAAAATTAAAATTAAATAATTTTAATGATTCAAAACATTTAAACTTTTTTTGGAAAACTCATTTCTTGATTTGCACGTAGTAAATAAGCGATATGTTTTTCATTTATCTAATTTTTATATGCTACTATTGAAAAAGTATGTATATTTTTTTATGACTTTGCAGACTGGAAAGAGAAAGATGAACTCAAATACATCATCGACATTGAAAAAAAGGCGAAAATAAAGCTATTCTTCATAAAAAAGTAATAATTATTTTATTTATATAATGTATTTTTTACAAGTAATATTTAATATAAATATTTAATAATATAAATTTTATATGTATAGATGAAATGATAATTAATGTTTTTGTTGAGCTACTTGTTAGATGCACAAAAATGTTAATAATACCTGACTATTTTATATAAAAATTGCTTCTTTTTGTGACGAGAAAACAATGAAATGTAAATGGTTAAACGATTTTGAATAATCAATTCAGACAATTGTGTGAAATTCATTTATCTTCTTTTTGAATCCTTTCTATTGCGTGTAAATGATCAGAAATAGTTGATTTACTAACATTTAATGCTTTAGCTAATTCTTCAAGCGTTTGAGTTTTCATTCAAAAATTTTGATTGATCTAAATGTTTTCTTTTGTCTTTTAAATCAAAATCACTATTTTTAAATCGCCGATACCAGTACTTACACGTTTTTAACTGATGAAACAGACTCAGAATAAATTTCTAAAATGAATCGGTGAGTTTCGGCAGCCGTTTTCTTCGAATCAAAGTAGTAAAGCAGCCGAAAATATTTTGCATCATATTCTATTTTCAATCGCATTAAAAAGTATAGTTTACGAATGACGTTTACGAACAGAACCTATGTCAAATTATTTGTAGAAATGTCCAAGCTTTGAAATGACATATTCAATTTCAAAATATTTTTAGCAGATCTATAGCTATAACCATTTGTAGTGAACCCTCAAAACTAATCAGAACACCTAATAAAAACATAAGATATACACAAGT